AAAAATCCAGCCAACCAGCCTAGGCTGGTTTAAGCTGGATTTTTCAGCAGGGATTCACTAAGGTGCCGCTGTTTGGTGTGGAATGTGGGGTACAGCCGGCAGGTTAATGATGATCCTCATTAACCTGCGGGCTGCATTTTGCTCACGGGGCTGCGAGAAAATAAAAAGAGCGGTGCTGTGGCAAAATATTGAATAAAAAGAGTGAGGTTATGGTCAAATAAACAAATAAATGAAAAAAGTGCAACTGCTGAGAGTGCAAGCAGCTAGGGTCACCGGCCCTCGCGGCCAAAAAACAGTCCGGCCCACCGGGAATTCTCCCGGTTCTCCCGATTATCCAATCCAGGCCTGCCGTTGTGTTTCTTGAACAACAATACCATCATGATTTAGCACAACATGTTTAAGCATATGTTAAAATGCATCTAGAACACCATTAGCATTTTTAGGTGTGGTTACCAATCTTTTATAAATTAAGACACTTGTTTTGTTTGCAACATGATGTAGCACTGCATGTTTTCTTACATTGCTAGCATGTTTTAGCATGGCTTTCTACACTGCTAGCATGTTTAGAGCACACTTTTAAATATCTTTGTCTTGATTTACACACTCTTAGCAGGTTTCTAGCATGATTTCGCTCACTGATAACATGTTTACCATTGTTAGCATGTTTCTAACATAAATTACCATACAGCTAGCATGCTTAGAGCACACTTTTAGCATTTTATAGTTTGATTTACCACACTGTTAACATGTTTTAACATGATTTATCACATTGTTGACATGTTTTAGCACACTGGTAATGCATCTAGCACAGGTTAAACATGTTTCTAGAACAACAAGACTATCATGTATGAATACTATCAATACTACTAGTTGTTTTAGCACATTATTCGAATGCATCAAGAACACTATTAGCATGTTTTTTTAACACAGTTACCAGCATGAATAAAGACATTGTAGCATGATGTAGTACAGCATATTTTCTTACATTGCTAGGAGGTTTTTATCATGACTTAAGGCCAGTGCTGAATGTTTTGGTTATGTGTGTACTGGTTAATAATCAGTAATTATGCTAATTATGAGTCATGGTATGCTAATCATTTTCTTCTTCTCCAGTATGTCCAGAGACGTCAGCAGGAGAACGCACAGAGGCAGAGCCGTGGAGAGCCGCCTCTGCCAGAAGAAGACCTGACCAAGATGTTCAAGCCTCCGCAGCCGCCGCCACGCATGGACACGCTGCTCATCGCCAGTATGTCATCTGTACAATCACAGTCATTTATTCACTTCACATATATATACTTTGGGTATGTCACAAATTGATTTAGAAACCATTCTTATTTTCATTTATTTTGTTCAAATGTTCCATAAACCGGTCGCTTTGAGGTACATGTTAGGGTTTTCAGGGTTAAGGAACTGGTTTGGATATAAATATGTTTAATATGCTTTGATCTGGTTTGGATGTAAAGTGGTTTGATCTGGTTTGCTTTTGTTTAGATGTGAAAAATTTGTCTGTCTAGTTTGACCTGGTTTAAAAAAAAAACTTAAAAAACATAATTTTTTAAACATTTTGAGGTTTTGTTAGACTTTTAAGAGTTAAGGTACCGGTTTGGATATGAATAGGTTTGATCTGGTTTGGATGTAATGTGGTTTGATCTACTTCGGTATGGTTTGGAAGTAAAGTTTTTTTATCTGTTTCTGTATCTGTCTAGTTTAATCTGGTTTGGAGATGAATACGTTTGGGCTGGTTTGATATAGATTGGATATGAAAAGGTTTGGATGTGAAGAGGTTGGATCTGGTTTAATATAGTTTGGATGTAAAGAGATTTGGTTTGGATGTAAAGAGATTTGGTTTGGATGTAAAGTGGTTTGGTTTAGATGTTAGTTTGACTTGGTTTAAATTTTTTTTAAAGTTTGGGCTGGTTTGATATAGTTTGGAAATGAAAAGGTTTGGATGTGAAGAGGTTGAATCTGGTTTGATATAGTTTAAATGTGAAGAGGTTTGGTTTGGATGTAAAGAGATTCGGTTTGGATGTGAAGAGGTTGGATCTGGTTTAGATGTGAATACGTTTGGGCTGGTTTGATATAGTTTCGATATGAAAAGGTTTGGATGTGAAGAGGTTGGATCTGGTTTGATATAGTTTAAATTGAAGAGGTTTGGTTTGGATGTAAAGAGATTTGGTTTGGATGTAAAGAGATTTGGTTTGGATGTGAATACATTTGGTCTGGTTTTGTATAGTTTGTATGTAAAGAGGCTTGGTCTGGTTTGGATTTGAATATGTTTGGTCTGGTTTAATATAGTTTGTATGTGAGGAGGTTTGGTCTGGTTTGGATGTTTATACGTTTGGGCTGGTTTGATATAGTTTGGATATGAAGAGGTTTGGATGTTAAGAGGTTGGATCTGGTTTGATATAATTTAAATGTGAAGAGATTTGGTTTGGATGTGAAGAGGTTT